GTGCGTGCGTGCGTGCGTGCGTGCGTGCGTGCGCGCGCACCCCGGGGGCCTGAACTCTGGGCCTGGGCACTATCCCTGAGCTCTTCAGCTCAAGGCTAGCATTCTACCACTTGTGCCACAACACCATTTCCAACTTTTTCTGCTTATGTGGTGCTGAGGAATCGAAACCAGGACCTCATGCATGCAAGGCAAGCACTCCACCACTGAACCACCTCCCCAGCCCCTTTTCTTAATAGTTATTTTTTGAATAGCGTATTACTGTTTGTCCGGGGCCAGGCTACGCCTATTTTTGCTTCCTGTGTAGCTTGGGTGACCAAGCTTTTTGCTGTTGAAATAGGATCTCATTGGCTTTTTGCCCAGACTGACCTCAGACGGAAACCTTCTCTACCTCTGCCTCCCAAGGATTATAGGTTTGAGCCACTGCACCCAGCTAATAATTCTTAAAAAAAAAAATAATAATAATGGTGAGGGGCTGGGAAGGTGGCTCAGTGGTAGAGTGCTTGCCTTGCATGCATGAGGCCCTGGGTTCGATTCCTCAGCACCACATAAGCAAAAAAAAAATGCCGGAAGTGGCACTGTGACTCAAGTGGTAGAGTGCTAGCCTTAAGCTGAAGAGCTATGGGGCAGTGCCCAGGCCCAGAGTTCAGGCCCCACCACCGGACCCCCCCCCAAAAAAAAGTGATAATGTATCCATCAAAATCTTTTAAATACTCTATAGATCTTCCTTTCAAAATTTAGAGCTAGTAACAGCCTTTGTTTCTTTTTCAGATATACACTCTATCTAGTAACGAAAATTACCTTACCCTATTCTTCCCACCTGCCAGGTGGTTGTCAGAGGCTGCTCAAAGCCAAATCTAAAGTTCTTACTAACTCAGTAATTAACTGATTCATTCACTGGTACGAAACTTTTCACTTTTATTTCAAAATTATTTTTATAAAGCTGCCCAGTAACATTGGTAAAAAAAAAAAAAAGACTAAATTAATAGCTTACATTAAGAAAATTCTGAATCACTGTGACCAGAGTAAGAATTAATATTCTTGAAGGAAATCAAGGTAATATACCAATTCTTTGAACCTGAACTACTTCAGGTTTCTGCTAATACTTTTTCCCTGTTTCCAGAAATTGCTCTTTGTTTTAGGCACTGTCAGTAAATCTTGTGACTGGCCATAACTGTCTTATCTGAAGACTTACTCTCAGGTCCAAGGAAAAATGCACACTGCATGTAAAAGTCCTTTGCTACTCAATAGTCTACCTCCACTTACTTCCAGGTTCACAGCTGCTGTCTCAAATGGTAATCTGCCTAACTGTAACTTAAAAATGTAACAATAGGAACTGGCGCTGTGGCTCAAATGGTAGAGTACTAGCCTTGAGCTGAAGAGCTCAGGGATAGTGCCCAGGCCCAGAGTTCAAGCCCCACGACCAATTAAAAAAAAAAAAGTAACAATCTTTTTAAGTGCTATCTTGTTCTACCGATATAGTGGTTTTCTATTTAACTTTCATTTAAAACTATTACTGAAGGAAAAGTATATAGGATATTTGAAATTATTTAAGATGCATTATTGTGTGATCTTATAAGAATGACAACATAACAAAGGAAGCAAATTTGTGCAAATGCTTAATATTTTACTATATACTTTTTGTTATTCTTTTATAACCACCTCACACTTAGCAGCTGAAAATTTAAACACAAATAAGCTCAAATATACAAATAAATACAAACAGGAAGAGCTTGTATCAACTTAGAGGCTATGTCCACAGCACATGTAATTACTACCCTGGATAAATAATTTACATCTAAATGCTCATGCTGTCTCAGGACCACTTTTAAAAATTATACAAATATTTAAAATTTTCTGAGTAGTGAATTCTGGCCAGTAGAGAGAGCATCTAATTTGATGTAAACAATTGCATCATCTTACTTTAACATGCACGTATTATATGTGTGTCCCTAAGTATACCTGCATACACACGTATACATGCAATCACGTACACATTAATCAATTACTGCTTGGAAATTGTGTTCAAAAGCCATTTTCTACTCTTTTATTATTATAATCGTAAGTTTTTCAAGGTTTATTGCAAAAATCACAGCCCTAATATACTAATGATAAGGATACATTTAAGTATTTACATGTCATCTAAAATAAAATATAATTTCATGTATCTTATACATAAATATACTTTATCATGTAAGTTTTCATATTTCTGACTTTCAGGAATGCTATGACTCTAATAATGAATAAATATAGTTGCCTTTGTACTTGAAGACCTGGACTTGTGTACTTTTCTAAGAATGAACAAAGCATATCACATAGTAAAAGAAAATTACTTACCTGAAACTTATCCTTTCAGAAGGTACACTGGGAAAATGGATTCTTTGAGCCCCTGTTTCAATTCCAAGTATGAGCTTTCTAGCTTTAAGAGCCATTGACACTGCCCTAGGGGCAGGACAAGCTTTGGAACTCCCCTAGTGAGTATGTCAGTAGTTTCTTCAGGTGCCTTCCCTCAGTTCTTTTCAAATTCAAAAGATGAGAGGAAAAATAACCCAAGAAAAAAATCCTGTAAAGCAGAAACCTTACTCTTTGAGGGAAGGAGGGTAGCTCATTTGTGAATCCATTCCAGAGCACGCTTTCTGAGAAAAAGAAATACAGGTAAGTAATTTTCCTATCTCCAAAGGTGACTGGTGATTAATGAGTGGATTCACAGAGTGTGGAGAGTAGCTCCAGGGATGTCTGTTTCACATACAACAATCAACTAATGAGGACAAACAACAATGGATGGGACAAGAACCAATGCTACTCTTTTAAATATCTCAAAACAAAAGGGAAAAAAGAAAAGAAAACATCTCACATTAAGCTATGCACTAGACTACAGAAATAAGCAACTGTAAAAACTTGAGCTACAAAGCCCCAAAAGATCAATGAGACAGACTTTCTGAAGTAAGCCCAATAAATATTGTACTATGTATATTTATTTCATCATTTGGTTAATAAATTAAGCCTTTTCAAATATTTGAAATCTAACAAAAACCAGTGAGATATATTATCTGGTATTTCTACAATAAGGTTCTGACTTGGGGACAGTCATAATTGAAATCTCACTGACAGTAAAGTATTACCAATGAGGTTCAAAATCATTTCTGAAAACTAAATGCTGTCCTTCCATCACGCTGTAGGCTTAGTCTTAATGTAAGCACACCTTTCTTAATCTGGGGAATCAGAATGTACAAAGATTTGAGAAGATAAATGTAAAGGTATAAATAAGATACACTTTAGGAATAGGCTAACTTGCATTGAGATTGATTTAAGTATTTAAAGAATGATCATATCCTTGTATCCAAAAGACTAATAGAAAGAATACTGAATCATTCATCAACATGTAGTACAAAAGAGATCTGAATAATGATA